ACCCCCCTCTACACCTCTGTTAACCCTATGGTGCACCATGTTGAATAAGTGATGTGTTGTGTTTTTAATCATTCAAAACATTTTTGCAAAGGACCAGGCCTTTTTCTTTCTTTCAACTGACCTCTGAGTGCATCCTTCTCAAGAAAGTACAGTTTGTATGCATTGTACTCTTCGATGTCCATTGTTGTTTTCAGCTTCAGTTCTGCCAGGTTAAGTTCCTTCAAGATCTTTTCAGTCACAAAACAATCTTGAACCATCTTAACCAAACGGCCACATGAGTACTCTTTCCATAATTCCTCCAAGCTCTTGAGAGAATCGCACTTTACTGTTATAACCAAACTTCCAACAAAAACACCTGTAATACATGTCCTAGTTTTTTCTAAGAATTCCAGAAACTCGTTGCGTTCATCCATACTTTGTGGTGGTGTAGTATTAAGGTAATTAATAGCAACCAAGCACAGGACTCCCTTTTTGAGTGGTTGGAGATCTTCTAAATCTGTATCAGATTGTCTTTTTCTCTTTGTGCCCGAAGATGTGGATGCCTTCTGATATCCTACTGGCTCCAGTGCTGAAACTGAAGCTGTAAGCATTATGATCTCCAAGTTTCATGTGTTTCACATCAACCTTGATTTTTAATTTTTGATCTGTTGATTTGGAGCAAAGTGTTTAAATTAAAATTGTCCTTCAAATCCACTTGAAACCGTTAATATCACCTTAAACTTCAAACATATTGGATGATAGTCTGCTTGCAGGTCCTCATTATAAGAGAGCTGCTACACCAGTGTTCCTTCCCCCAAAACCTGAAATCACACAGCAATCTTGCAATTGAATAGTACCCAATACACCAAAATTTTGTAACATGACAAATTTCATATCTGCAAGGACGCAAGAAAGTGGGAAAAAGTGAATAGTGAGTGATAGGGAACTATTACAGCTGGTTTATTCATATCAAAACATAAGCAGAAATAAATCATTCAATCTGGCTGTGCTATTTACATGAACCTGCATTTAGTCTTATACAAGGTTTCTATATTTCCAAATACAGTAGGTTAAAGAAATATCACCTGCACCT